TTGCCCAGGCTGGTCTCGAGCTCCTGGGCTCAAGTGATCCTTATGCCTCAGCCTCTTGAGTAGCTGGGACTGTGGGCCTGCACCACTGTGCCTGGCTGTAAATTTTTAAAGTATTTTTATCAAAGCCTTGTTGCTTACAACCTGTGGGCCATTCACATTTCCAGAAATTCTGACCCTGGAAGAGAAGGTGTCTTGTTGTTTGAAGTCAGAGTCTTTCTTTATAAGCTTATTGCCGTAGCATTTCTTTGGATTTTCAAGTTATTAGAAGATAGTTGTATCTATGTTGCTTCATTTGATCATTAAAATAACCCTGAGTGTGTACATAAGCATGAAAAGAATCTGTATTCCTGTTAAGATGCATGGAACTGTGTGTGTTAAGGTTTGTGTAGTTCACTGCCCATGAGTGATGCCTCAGTCCAAAAACAGCAGCCCCTGAGATAACGAGGCCCTGCCAGCCCGACCTGCAGAGGCGCAGCCTTGTGTGGGGGCTTTGGTCAGAGCCGGGGTGTGCCCAGTTTGTTTCTGCTGGAGCCTGCCCTGCACCCTCCGTCATTGGTCAGCCATTGGGAGGTGGCCTCATGGGCAGCTGTCTGGCCTCGAGCATGCAGACCTGCTGGCCCTCGGTGGTAAGCAGGATGTGGACACCCTAGCGGTGGGTTCCACATTTGCATGGAAGCTCTTGGCACCTTCCTTGTCAGTCTGGATTCTGTGGGCCACTCTTGCAAAGCCTCTGACAGGGTTCTCAGTGTGGAGTTGGCCTCGAAGTTGGTTCCTAGTCTGGTTGGTGTCCTACAGGGCCACACTCAAGCCACCTCCTGCCAAAGAGGTGGCATGGGGTGTCCGCATGGTATTGGACAGATGCTGACTGGCTTGGTGGCCCCAGGCGGGCTCCAGGTACCCTGAGGGCAGTATCTCCTGCAGAACTCAGCTGGGAGCTGACAGACCCTTGATTTGGAGCAAGTCTTGGGGACAAACTGGAATTGTCAGGGCTGGCCATTTTGGTTCATTGATTATTCTCTAAAACTTTTGATTTGTATTCTTTTAAAAATTTGATCTTAAAATCCCTTAATTTTTGTTCTGAAATTTTGAAATTTGGTGCAAAATGAGGAATGACTCCTTTTTGCATTTTGTGTTTTTGTTCTGTTAAAGTTTTGGTTTGTGATCGAATTTGTGTTAATTTTTGGTGTCCTTGTGAGGGAAGGTGATGAATCATTTTTTGTTTCAGCAGGAAGGGCAATAACAGTGACATGAAAGGTTTCTGGTTAGTCTTGAAGGGTTTTAAAATTGTCATCTTTTCCCCTCATGCAAATGTTTTTACCACTTTGCATTCTGTAGTCCCCAAAAGGATGGTGAGACTTGCAGATGCCTGTTGTCATTGTAGCGGGAGCAGCGGCTGCTCTCGCCACAGCTCTGCCCCGCCAGCTGCTGCTGTCTCGAGTTGTCTCTTTTCGTCTCGGAGGTGATGAGGAGACCCAGTGCCCACTTCTCTGTCCCTCCGGAGGGTGAGCAGTGGTCTGGGATTTGGACACATTGTAGCCGATGGAGCTCTTGTTAGATAGTGGAGGTCAGCTGTGCAGGTAGGATGACACAGAATTAAAAAATATTTAAAGCTTTGCTCAGTGTATTTTCTTTCTAGATATTTATCTGACAGATGTTTTAGTGGACTAGAAGTGGATGATCTTTAAATAATTGGAGATTGTGAACTTTGTTTCAGCGGTACCAGGGATAGTAGAAATTGTGTGTCATGGCTTAGGGAGAAAAATGAAGTGAACACGTGGTTTCATTAAAAGTAACACCGTTATTTCTTGTTTCCATGATGAAAATGTTTTAACCTACTGCTTCATAGCTAAACTCTGAGTTTTTCCATGTTTTAGATTAAATAGGATTGCGAATCAGGTGTCCATTCAGCGGAAGAAGCAGTTTGTGGAGCGAGCCCACAGCTACTGGTTGCTCAAAAGGCTGTCTAGGAATGGCGCCCCCCTGCTGCGGCGGCTCCAGTCCAGCCTGCAGTCCCAGAGAAACACGCAGCAGGTACGTGGTGCGGCCTCCGTGAACCTCCCCGTCTCTTGCCCTCCTGACACCCTCCTGACCAACTGGCCAGATGAGGCACCTCCAGGGAGAGGGTGCCTGGGGCAGGCCCACAGGCCCTCGTCTTGTCCAGCCCCGGGACTGCAGGAGTGGGTCGTGTGGCCTCTGACCCGTGCGTGCTGCCTGGGGCCGGGCCCTTCCTCACTGTGCCCGGCACCATGCCAGCTCTGAGGACGGAGGGGACACCCAGGGATGCCACTGCCTCTTTGGGCATTTGGGGTGGGGCCAGCAGGAGGTGGGGTCTGAGGGGCGGGGTCTGTGTGCTGGGCCCAGGGTTTGGGTTTTGGAACCGCAAGGGGTGATTTATTTTCAGGGCCTTACCCTGACGGCTGGTTGAGCCTTGGAACAGTGGGGAGGGAGGGGCCGCGAGAGCCGAGATGGACAAGGGGGAGCTGGAATCTTCCTTTTTAGAATAACAAACCCAAACAAATGTACATTTTAGTAGTCAGTTTGGGTTTACAGAATCACCTGATAGTGTGAAACAGTTCTGAAAGGATGGCTTCAGAAAGGAAAGAATTGGCCGCTATGAGATGTCACCAAAAGTAAATTGAAAACAAGAGTGGGTCTTCTTCGCACTGCCCAGATGCTCTGCTCGCTGCTTTTCTGTGGGGAACGGCTGGTCCTGCGGCCTCCCTGCCCTGCAGCGCACTGCGGGGGCACCTCCAGGGCCGGGGGCTGGGAGGACTCGGCAGAGCCTGTGGGATCCCTTTTCACTGCAGCCGTGGGCACAAAATAGATTTGCTAAACTGCGATAAAACAGTGACTCTCGTTCTGAGAGAAGCCCCAGCCTGCAGTGTTCGCAGTTGGATCCCACGTGGGTGCCGGGGCCTTCTGTCTCGGAGCCGCCAGCTGCGGGAGGAGGGGTGCCGCCCCGCAGCAGGTCAGGGAGCAGCACGTTTGCGGTCAGCAAAGGGGGCTCGTTGGTGTTGCCAGGTTTCTTCCGTCTCCCACAGACTCCCAGGCCAAACGTCTTCTGGTGGATGTTTTCAGAAGCGTCTATTTCAAACGGATGGACAAAGTGATTTTCACATGTTCCAGGGGGATTTTTTTTTTTAAAGAGACAGGGTCTCGCTCTGTCTCCCAGGCTAGAGAGCAGCGGCATCATTACAGCCCCCTGCGGCTCACACTCCTGGGGTCAAGAGATCCCCTGCCTCAGCCTCCCAAAGTGCTGGGACTACAGGTGTGAGCCACTGCACCGCGCCTGGGAATTTGGTTTTTAAATCCACCTTTTTATGTATTTACTGCTCTGTGTGTGGATGATACTACTGTTAACCCAGATTTCCTGCCTGAGTTCTCAGTAGCGTTAAGATAAACTTGGCAATTTGTACTGCGGTGGATGCTGAAGCCGCCTGGCGTGGTGAAGCCCCATCTGGGGAGGTGGGGGCGCAGGGCTTGGCTCCCCAGGCCCTTTTCAGCCCCTGTGCCTCCCTCTCCACCGTCCTGTGTGCTCCTCTCATGCTGTGTGAGGCTTGGCGACAGTGACTCTGCTTTCGGACTCTGAATCTTTCAAAGCACACCTGCGGCCTGGGCCCTAGATGGCTGCCGTGTCCTGGGGCAGGGGTGGGTGGGACCCCCGGGGGCTGAGCAGTCTGGAGTGTGGAGGGTGTTCTGGAAACCCCTGGCAGCGGCTCGCCCGGGGCTGCAGATGGCCAGCGTGTTTCCCGAGGTGCTGCTGCTGCAGGGGAGAGGGCGGCTGGGGCAGGGGTGGACCCTGCGTTGTGGGGCAGGTTCCTCGACCCGCCCAGGCCCAGGGGGCTCCGGGGCTGGGGTGGGTCAAGGTGGGGCTGGGCTCCGTCCCTGCAGCCCTGGCCACCTCCCGTCACCTTCCGCGTGGTGGCCCTTGCAGGACTAGGTTTTCTTTGTCGTGGAAGTGGCTGGTCGCGGGCTGCGGGCGGGGTGGTGGCCTGTGCTGTGGGGCGTGCGCTCTGACCCCGCGGAAGGGAAAAGGTGCTGCCAGTTGCGACTGCCACGTGCGCCGCTCTGAGGCGAGGGACTCAGACTGGCCCACGCGTCCCGTCCACGCCATGGTGGGCCCAGCCCTGGCGTTTCCCAGCTGCTCGCTCCATTCGGGGTCCTGGAGGTCTATCTCCATCCTCACTCCCTTGGGTCCTGGCCCCGCCCCGCCCTCCTGACCTGGTCCTGCCCCTCCCTGCTTTTGCAGAGTCTCCTGCTCTGGAGGGCAAAGTCCGTGCCCTGGGCCAGCTCCCTGCTTTCCTCTCTGTCCCTTCCACAAGCGTGCTGTCCTGGGGGACCTCTGTTGAGGGGCAGGCCATGTCCTCTCCAGGACAGGCCTGTGGGACCCCAGGCTGCGATGCTCCGGCATGCGCTGACTTCTGGGATCTCACCTGTGCAGGTTTCTGAGGCCTTTGTAGGGAGAGCCTCTCGGCTTGACTGAGGAAAGCTTTCAATTAATTTTCCCAGAGAGAAAACGACGAGGAGATGCAAGCCGCCAAAGAGAAGCTCAAGTACTGGCAGCGGCTGCGGCACGACCTGGAGCGTGCCCGCCTGCTGATCGAGCTGCTGCGCAAGCGGGAGAAGCTCAAGCGCGAGCAGGTGAGGCCCCGGAAGGCACCGAGGCCTCCGTTGGTCTCCGGGACAAGGCAGAAGTGCCCTGAGCAGCTCTTGGCAGAGCAGGTGCGCCCTCAGGCACCTGCAGTCCTGCCCGTTGCCCTCTGTCTGCCTCGGTGCTGCCCACCTCCCTGCGTGTCCCAGCCCCACTGCTGACCCCACGGTAGTGCCCTGCTTGGGGCCAGGCCAGGATCGGATTCACCGTCTGTCCTGAATTGCAAGGCCTTTGTGGAGGCCGGCGTTGGCCTCTGCCTTGAGAGAAGCACGGGTGCCTGTGGGAGGCTGGGGCGCTTAGACGCAGGCTTCTGTGTGGCCGCGGAGCGTGCCGATGCGCAGTTCTCGACAGCGGGGCTCTTCGTCTGTCCTCACAGGTGAAGGTGGAGCAGGTCGCCATGGAGCTGCGGCTGACCCCGCTGACCGTGCTGCTGCGCTCGGTCCTGGACCAGCTGCAGGAGAAGGACCCTGCGAGGATATTTGCCCAGCCCGTGAGTCTGAAGGAGGTGGGTGTTCACGGCCACCCAGCTGTCCCGTCCCACGTGTGACAGTGCGGGTTTGCGCTGCTGTTTGATTAGTGAATGTGTAACTAAGTAGAGTGTGTTACTTCTGCTCTTAATTCTCTTCTTCATTTAATACGTCGAATTATAAAAGTGACACGTTTCATTGTAAAATACTGGAAGTGTGGTGGGTTGGAGGCTCCTCTCAGACAGGACCCTCAGCGCTTGGCCTCTGTCCGACCAGCGCACCCGCTGCCTGCTTTTGGTGGAGGACCTGAGTCAGGAGGGCCCCGCAGGGACTCGGGTTTCATATCGGACTGGCCTCCTTGCTGCTCTCGTCAGCTGTGAGGAAATAGTCTGTACCGTGTGTGTGAGCGTGTGCGTGTGTGGCTCTCAAATGGGGGGGATGGGTTATTGGTTATATGGAGTAATAAATATAGAATAAGCTAAGTATCCTTTTCAGTTTGTAAATGATTATTTTTCCTCCCTAAAATTAGGTACCAGATTATTTGGATCACATTAAACATCCCATGGACTTTGCCACAATGAGGAAACGGTTAGAAGCTCAAGGGTATAAAAACCTCCATGAGTTTGAGGAGGATTTTGATCTCATTGTAGATAACTGCATGAAGTACAATGCCAGGGACACCGTGTTCTATAGAGCCGCGGTGAGGCTGCGTGATCAGGGAGGTGTTGTTCTGAGGCAGGCCCGGCGCGAGGTGGACAGCATCGGCTTGGAAGAGGCCTCGGGGATGCACCTGCCCGAGCGGCCCGTCGCGGCCCCTCGGCGGCCTTTCTCCTGGGAAGACGGTAAGAACTGGGCACCGTGTCCAAGAAGAGACGGGAGGATGCTCCTCCCCACAGGACGGCTTGTCCTGCTTTGTGTCGCCAGCTCTACGTCGGCACAGTCCAGGAGAAACTGCATCAACCGCGTGTGTGGTTTTAAATTTCCTAGTAGTGTCACTAAAAAATTAAAAGAAACAGGTGAAATTTATATTAATAATGTATCTTACTTAACTCAGTATGTCCAAAGCATTGTGATTTCAACCTGAGAGCAACATGGAAATCACTGAGGATGTATTTTGTTAGTGTTCATCCTCTTTGCTGCCTGCTGTGTGTCTTATTCGTGGCACGTCTCATTTCAGACCAGCCATAGTTCACGTGCCCGCTTGAAAGACCATGTGGCCAGTGGCTCCCCATGGGGCAGCCCAGGTCTCGATCACAGAGCCCAAGAAGGCAGTTTGGTTGGAGATTTGCCCCCAGAGCGGGACTTGGTCCACTTGCAGCCGGAGGAGCTCTGGCTGTGCCTGTGGCCCTCTCCCCTCTCGGTTTGTACCAGCTGCAGAAGGAGCCTCGGCGTGGTGTGTCCACGGCCCTCCTGGACTCCAGCCTGGGCCCAGGCATCCCAGTTGCCCCGGCACACACGTGGCTGACCCAGCACCCATCTCCTCCTCCTGTAGACAGATCCTCGCAGCCCAGGGCCGCCTCTCGCTGCGCCTCGCTTGTCAAGCTGGCAGTGGCATTTGTTGAATGGCGTGAACTGTCCAGATGGGTTCACGGAGCATCTCAAAGCATGGTTTTCCTGAGTTTAAAGTTGTTTGCACAAGTCCTGGTGTGTCCGGTTCATTTATCTGAAGGTCCCGCATCCTTGGCCTGACCTTCCTCCAGATGAGCTGTGCTCCGGGGACGCACCGCCCCTCCCTCCATGTGCATCGGTCGTGGGGTTTGGCTGAGCTGGGGGCCGGGCGTCTTGCCTCGCCATCTCTGCTCCTCCCTCAGGCAGCAGTTCCAGCCTCCTGTGCCCAGCACAGTGGGACTGTCTCCCTCCAGAGCTCAGACATCTAGGGCATGCAGGATACAACGGTTGGACTCTTTTTTTTAAGGAATGGGAATATGTTTTTATTTTTTGTCTCTTTTTAAGATTCACACTTGTTTTTGGAAAAATATGGAAAACAAACGCAAACCCAAAACCCATTGACAGTTCTCAGTGAACCTAGGTGGAGCTGTGATCTTAGGTCTGTGCTCCCCGGGCCAGTCAAATCGAAGTCAGCTTTTCTGAGATGTCGCCAGGGGTCCCGAGAGGCGCAAGGCTGAGAGCCCCTCACAGCGAGCCGTGGCCTCCAGGTGCTCACCCTTTTCTAGAGTGTCCTGCCCCCAGCACCCCCTGCCTGGCGTCGCCCTCCTGCCGGCCGGCAGCTCTCGGAGGCCCACCGGCGCCGTGGCTGCTCCCAGCATGGCTGCTGGTTGCCAGCGCTTAAAAGTGGGAAGACCCAGTGTGTGTCCTGCCTGGGCTCCGTGGAGAGTCCTGTGCCCCCGGGCCCTGCTCCTCAGGCCCTCCCTCGGCTCCTGGCACGCTGCCTTTGAACAGAGAGGACTTGGGGGCCTCTGGGTGTTGACACCTTTCAGATGATGGACGGCAGATAAATCTCTACATCCAGGTTTTTTGCTAAGGAGAAAATTAAGAATGAGAAGCACTAATTTATTTCTCTCTCAGTGTTTGGGCTGTAGACAGATGAGCCAGGGGCCACCTTGTGCCTCGACGCCGCTGCTCCCCAGGGTGCCCGGTGCCCCCCCAGTGCCTGAGCCCTGGTGACGGCGCCTGATGGCGCAGACACAGAGGCTTCCCCAGACGTCAGGAGGCATTTTCTTTGGGGCTTCGAATGATGTGAATTCTGTTCGTATGAGTGTTTTCAAGGTGTCGTCTGTGAAGTGTGGCTGGGCGCAGTGGCTCACACCTGCAGTCCAGCACCTGGGAGGCGGAGGTGGGAGAGCGCTGTGCGGCACTGCCGCGCTCCAGCCTGGGCCTGTCTCTAAAAACTTTATCTGTGAAGTTAGTTCAGGGTGACGTTGTGGGTGCAAGTCTCGGACGATTGTGTTTTAGGCGTTAATGTTTATTTCTCTGTGCTGGCGCCTTGTTACCGCGTGAGAAAGGCAGGTGCTGTCAGTAGCACGTTTGTCTCTAGAGGAAGGTGAGTTCGTTAATTTCTGGACGCTCTTTTTTTCTCTCCCTCTTTTCTCTTGCTCTGGTTTTATCTTCAAGTAGCTCTAAAGAGTAGCTTCTTTTCTTGGCCAACTTCTCTACTAATTTAAGGTTATTTGTGCTTTACAAATTTTAGTGTTTTATTGAAATTGCTAGGGACTTTGTAGTAAATATGCCTGAAATTCAGAACGATCTGTGAATTTTGCAGCCCAGTTTTAATAAAGCCACACAGTGATCCACATCTGAAGACTCCAGCTAAGCAGCATTTACGATGCGCAGACAGCCCCAAGCGAACACGTTTGCAAACAGCCACGTGTTTGCAGAGTTGGCGCAGGTCCGTCTCGAGCTGTGCCGGGTTGGTGGAGCACATCTGTCTGGTGGTCTTTGTGTCGCACCCTCACTCGAGCAGTCAGGACGTTTCACAGGAGGACTTGGTTGAGTCGTGTTTCAGGACAGGTTGCAGGTGTCACCTGGACGCTGCCCTGCTGCAGTGACACCGTCTGCGCAGCGCCCCTGTCTGGCCCAGAAATTCTCCCTCAGGCGCATCCTGACGTCTCTCTGCAGCAGTGGCCCTGTCGTGGGTTAGAGCGCGGGGGAGGGCCTGTGTCTCTTCGGCGGCCACGCTGGGGCCTTGGCCAAGGGTGATTGCAAAGGCGGGACTAGTGAGGTGTTCTCGGGTGCAGCGGGGATTTGATGACTGATGCTCCTGTCCTTTGGTTCAGTGGACAGGTTGCTGGACCCAGCCAACAGAGCCCACATGGGCCTGGAGGAGCAGCTGAGAGAGCTGCTGGACATGCTTGACCTCACCTGCGCCATGAAGTCCAGCGGCTCGCGGAGCAAGCGGGCTAAGCTGCTCAAAAGAGAAATTGCTCTTCTTCGAAACAAGCTGAGCCAGCAGCACAGCCAGCCCCCAGCGGGGTCAGGTACTGGAAGCTTTGAAGAGGACGGTGCTCCGCTGGGGCTGGAGACGGGCGAGGAAGGTAAGCCACTGCTGCGTGAGGCCGCCCGCCCCTCCCTGCCTGCCAGGGCTGAGGCTCAGACACGGGCGTCGCAGGGCTGGTTCCCCGTGCGTGACGTGCGTGCTCACCGCTAGTGGTGTGAAGTTCGCAGAGTCCCACGGCTTGATGTTCCCCTTTAAAAGGCGGCACAGTGGGGCTGCCTGTGCTGTGGTTTTTCAGTTAAATAGTTTACGAAGTTTGGGGCACAGAAAAAAATTTTTTGTCTCAACTTGGGCCTGAAAAACTGTTTGAAAAGAATGACTTAGGTCTTACACTGTGTTGAAGAGTTAAATTGTAGACAAGAGTAGGAAGCATTCTTGTTGTACTTTGTAAATTGAGGGAGAGCGTTTAACTATGCACTAGGTTACCTAAGGCAGCTTCGTGAAGGGCTGTTTTACGCTGTTGGCCTTAACTGCTCTTCCCTGGCCTGTGGAGGGTGGGGAGGCTCTGCTGGGGGCTGCAGCTCTGGACAGCTGTCCCTGGGGGATGGCTTGTTGTCGTAGTAACTGAAGACTGTCTGGGGACGGAGCTGGGCAGCAGGATGGTTGTAGAGACAGGAAGTAAACGGGAGAAGAAATCATCTCCCACGGGGAAACCAGTGGGGCCAGCGCGGAACGTGAGCCCTGGGTGGTGAGGTGGTTCCCTGAGGAGTTGCCCGTGTGTGTCTGGGCTGGGCTGGAGGGCAGAGGTGGCAGGTCCGTGTAAGGGAACCTCAGGTGAAAATTTGAAACCCAGCTGAGCGCCGAGAAGTCGGCAGAGAGTGATCCCCATTTTGTTTTGCTCTCTGGACCCCAGACCCCCGCCACAGCCCGCCGGTGGCTTGTCACCTCCCGACTCGCCCCGCACATCCAAACACGGAGAGCAGCATTAAAACAAGGCACACGTGCAGTTGTTCTTTGACGTGATTTTTTATAAAAACTTCCACCTCTGGTGGACGTCCGTGTCCACACGTGCAGGTCTGCCTCGACCCTTGCAGCGACACACGGTGTCCTGTCCGGAGGCGCCGCAGGTGGCCAGCGCCACGGGTCGGTCATGACAGCCTCTGATCCCTCTGAACTCAGCACGATTTTCCGTCCTGTGACTTCTCCTTTTTGTCCTGTTGCCGTGTCAGGCAACTAGAACTAGAACCGTCAAGTTTTTTTTCTCTTAGAAATTTACTTCCTGTGTATACAGCTAAGAATTCTTCGTGCACCCTTTTTTCACTCATTTGTACCTATTTTTGTTTCAGTTTTATGAGTCTTATGTTTAGGTCACCTTAGCATAAGACCCAGACTCTAGACCGTCTCTTTTGGGCAACCTAAATGATAGTAGGCCCGAGAATAAAGGCTTTATTTTTCACTGTGGAGCACCCTGCTTTCTTTCTCTGCAAAGCCTTTATCACCAGCCCACGAGCCCGCCTCTGCCGTTGCAGGGTCCTTGTGTGTTTCTTTCTGAGGAGCATTTGCTTGCAGGAACCTCTGGCAGTCAGGCCTATGCGGGATCTAGGGCTGCCCCTTTTGTGCCCGGGGGTCCAGGGGGCATCATCACCTGGTTCCCATGCTCTTTGCTTTCCTCCGGCCTGTTGCGGGGTCCTCTTCCCACCTCCTGAGCCATCCTCTGGCCGTGCGTGGTCCTTGGCCCCGTGGGCGTCCTTCAGGGGGACTTCTGCTTGTGTGCTACTTGCCCCGCACAGGGAGCTGGGGACGAGGTTTGTCCGCAGTTCCCCATCAGCAGAACAGCTGATCCTGGAAGGCCGCTCCCGCCACAGCCCTGACCTCTTAGCTGCAGAGCAGCAGGTTACCTTGTCAGCTGTTTCAGTAGCCGCCTCCCCCGGCCCTGGCTTTGCAGGCTGAGGACCCTCAGCCGGGCCGCCTGCCCCTGGGCAGGAGCAGCTGGTCCTCTCAGAAGTAGCCCGGAGGTCATTTTAAAGAAAGCGCACACAGAGTGAAATCTGAGATAAAAGGTGGCCAGGAATGGCTCAACACTGTGTTTGCAATGACTTGAGCAGGCCGATGGGCAAGGTGGAGAGAAGGCAAGTGGGCTGAAGGCCCTTCTGCGGGGCGGGAAGGGGAGGGACAGCCACAGACACTTGGGCGAGTTGTACAGAAGTGTCAACTCGTGACTCTTATTATGGGATAAAAACCAAGAATCAGACATTTAAAAAATGTTTTAGCACGTCTCCTAGGCGATATGGCCCCTCTCTTTTTCTTAAATATAACTGTAATATTATCACACCTATAAAAGTCATAATTCCTTAATATCTGTAATACAGAGTCTCACTTAAATTGTAATTTAATGATGCCTTTGTAGCATTTATGTTGTTCCATTTGAAGCAACTTGAATAAGGATAGCTGTGGGAGCCTGGCCCCGAGGCCCTGGTGTCTGAAGGAAGGAGATGTCCCCTGGGCTGCCAGGTGGCAGTGGCCCCCACCGTCCTCGGGTACCCATAAGGCTGTGCTTTGGCCATGACTCAGTCTGCTGAGCGTGAGGGTTTGGGCTGCCCATGTCAGCTGGCCCTGCCCTGCTAACGCCTGGCCATTGAGCACGTGCAGGGGGAGGGCCGAGCTGAAGGGGAGTTGCTGGTGCCAGTTGCCGGAGTTCGTTTGCTGAGCCCTTGGTCCGCCCTGTGCTCGAGCTTTGGCTTCAGTTGACTAACGGGGGCACAGTCTCGAAGGCAGGTGTCTGGGAGGAGAGTCTGCCCCGCATGCCGGTGAGTGGGGCTTGCGTGTCAGGTTGTTGGGGTCTCAAGTCGTGGGCGACAGGCCTCCCCCTTGCGGAAGGCTCCAGGGAGCCCGCTGTAGTTGAGGACAGCTCCGTGGGGCGTGGCTGCGTGCACAGCAGAGCCTCCCTGCCGTGTGCACACACGGTCATGTTGTTTGTGAAAGGATTTTCTATTTTTGCTCTGAAAATGTACCGTGTCTGTGGCTTTATCCCTTCAGAATTGCCAGGAAGGAAGTGCCAGGCAGGGTGGCGGTAGAGGCGGTGAGGTTGCTGGTCCTGTGCTGAACTGTCCCCACACGCTGCACTGTGACTTTCTGAAGCCTTTCGTGGCTTTTCTAAGCAAGCATTGGATTGGCGCGGTGGCGGGCGGCCAGGTGTGGCAGATGTTCTGGAATTGTCCCGCACGCTTACCTGGGCCTCTCGGTTTGGTGGAGTAGCCAGTGTAGATTAGGCGGCCTGCGCGTGAGGCCATTTCATGGTTAACCTTTTTGCTGAGCGTAGACGTGGTAAATACCAATGAGTGGAATTCTAGGATGCTGACTTCTATATTTGCAAGGTCTGAGACCTCTTACATTTGATTGTTACACAGATTGTTCTGGAAGTTAACGGAGCATCTCTCATATGCAGTTAATAAAACATAGAATGGTTAGTAGGCAAGGAGCTTCTTAAAGGAATTCTCATACCTGCATGTTAACATCCAAAAAGATTTCCGCTCGAGTGACAGAACTGGGCAGCCTGCTCTGTCGGGGCCCGGGCTCTGCTGGGACAGGTCTGGGGGTGCCGTGCTGCAAGGCACAGCCGCCGTGTCTTCTCATTTCACGGATGAGGAGAGTGAGGCCCAGGGAGGTTCGGTGGCCTGCCTGTGGGTTCGGGCTGGTGGGGGTGGGTTTGCACCTGGACGTCTGAGTGGCCTCTGCCTTCCACCACTGCCCTCCTGGGTGTTTCGGCCAGCCCTCGGGAGCGCGTCCTGTGAGCCTCGTGCCGGGGCCGGCGGCCTGGCGTGTACGTGGAGCTGACTGCAGGGCAGGGACAGCTGGGGACAGGATGCACGGGGCCCAATGCAGGGTGGCGATGGGCCTGGAACCCACGGGCCAGGGAAGGGTGGGGACAGGGCTGAGCCCGGGGCGGGCGTAGGACAGGCTGGGGAGGAGTGCGCTCAGCCAAGGCAGTGTCGGGGCCGCTCCTCGTTGGGCTGTAAGATCAGGCCGTCCCTGTGGTGCGGAGATGGTGGAGGGTCTGGCGTGGGGCGTCTTAGCTGGGTCAAGAGCTCGAGGTGGGAGGGCTCGTGTGCGTGGCTGCTGCCTGGCAGGACTGGGAGGCAGGTCTGAGGTTCCCTAGCTTTGGAGAGGTGGGTGGAAGCGGCGTGGGGAGGGCCCTGGGGGCGCCTGGCGCTTGGCTGGGCGGAGGCTCCTTCAGGTTCCACCATTCATTGCCCAGGGCTGCCAAGGCCAAGACCGAGGCTGGCCGCTAGCCAGGCTAGCGGTCAGCCTCGGCCCCACAGGCCACAGGGGTCACAGCTCAGCGTGAGGTCAGGACAAGGAAGAAGAGGAGGCAGGAAGTGAGTGAGGGCGAGTCCCCGTGGCTCCGGCCTGTGCTCCCCGACACCTGGCCCTGGAGACTGGAGGGAAGTGCGGAAGCTCGGGTGACGGGGACGTAGCGGTTATTGACAGCTCAGTTTCCACCCAGTCATTGTCCCGTGTGTTCCGTAAATCTTCTTAGACCTGTCAGGCGGTCTGAGCGGGGTGGATGGGAGACACTCACTGGGTTCAGTGTGCCACGTACAGGTGTCATGCTCTCCAGGTGGGTGGTTCTGCCTCTGTGGCGTCAATTTTAGGTGCTAGATAAGCTTGTTCCTCTCTCAAACTTTTTAATAAAAGGCATTTTTAAACAAAAGCCTTTTTGTTGAGGTGACACTTTCCCCGCTGGTATTTGAGTCCTGTGAGGACTGTGACAGCTTTGAGTGGCAGTTGGACACAGGCGCCCTGTAGCCCAGGGCCTGCCGGGCTGTGTCAGAGCAGAGCCGGCCCCTCTGCACCAGCGGTTTGCTGGCCCCGTCTCAGGGAGAACTTTTTTGGTATCATTCTTAGACATTTGTCTGAGTTAATCCGGCATCTTAGAGATGTCGGCGAAGCTTGCAAGTGGTGCAGCGCTTCATTTTCAGAATGACTTTTTGGATTACAGTATTACCCACATGTATTTCAAACAGTTTTTGGAAAGTTTGCAGGCTTAATAAAAACTAAACCACTGATAATATATACTACTTAGGGTGACTTAGATTGTTACTCTTGGTTTTACGTTACACTTCCTGTAGCTAAAGTCAGTTCTGCCTGGAAAGAAACGGCAGTGGCTCAGCCCAGCGTGGCAGAACCTCCCGGCCACGCCCACGGCCCCCGGAGCGCTGTTCTCTGACTTCTCATTTCTATGTTGGGAATTCTACAAAAGCCGTTTTAAAGAGACTAAAATAGGCTTCCAAAGACCGTTTTTATTTTTGAAGTGAGATTTAAAAGAAAAAGCTACTGCTACAGTGTTGGGAGCTACGGCACAGAAGTCTGTGTGTGCGGAGATGAGTGGGAATGTCTTCACTGCTTTTCTGGAGACTCCTTCGCAGCTGCTCACCACTCATGGTTTTTGGCATTGACTTAGCAAACCCGACCAGAGCTCAGGTTAATGTTTGTCTCCTTTTGTTTGCTGACCTGTGGTCCAGCGCAGAGCTCTGTGGAATGCCAGGGTAAGGCCCTTAGTTATGTGAAATGCCTTTCCTTCCTCAAGGTAAGTGAATTGTGACTGTGGAGACTGTCATGAACTTGAACGGTGTATGTAATATGGGCATATGTGAAATAATCTTTAGTTTTTTGCAGAAAGTAACTGTGCTCCGGGCTCCTGCGCCCGGGGTGCCAGGCCCACAGCCTTTGGCGTTAGGGAGGCGCACACAGTGTGACCCGAGCCCCACGGGGCCACTCCCTGCTTAGCAGACAGTTATTTGTGATGCTTTGTTTCCTTAATTGAATTAGTATTTTGGTGGACTTCACATTTATAGTAAGTTTTATAATAGATTTTATAATCTTCAGTTTTCAAAAATCACTTTATTTATAATTTTTTCAGGAGATAAATCTCCCCCTAAACTTGAACCATCAGATGCATTACCTCTTCCTTCAAACTCGGAGACTAATTCAGAACCACCAACCCTCAAACCAGTAGAACTCAACCCAGAGCAGACTAAACTATTCAAAAGAGTCACATTTGATAATGAATCACATAGCACTTGCACTCAGAGCGCACTGGTAAGCGGACACCCTCCAGAGCCCACCCGCGCCAGTAGTGGCGATGTGCCGGCGGCGGCCTCCGCGGTGGCGGAGCCATCAAGCGATGTAAACAGACGCACTTCTGTTCTCTTCTGCAAACCGAAAAGTGTAAGCCCCCCAAAGTCTGCCACGAACACTGAAACCCAGCCAACTTCTCCTCAGCTAGGGACCAAAACCTTTTTGTCTGTAGTCCTTCCGAGGTTGGAGACTCTTCTGCAGCCAAGGAAAAGGTCGCGGAGCACATGTGGAGACTCCGAGGTGGAGGAGGAGTCCCCGGGAAAGCGCCTGGACACAGGTAAATGTCACGGGTGGCTGGCCGAGAGCACCCTCGCGACTGTGCTGAGACGCGTTCTGACCTCCAGGGAGCTTGGCACGAAGCGTGTGAGGTGCTGAGCGTTTGTTTTGCAGCATTCTCTTAACTTACGGAGAAGAAGACAGTGCAGTTTTTTCGTTCAATAGCCCTGAGTCGTAGGTCTGAGGCTGGCGCCCTCTCGGGGGTTGGAGGGGCACCTGCCGCAGTGGCTGCGTGGCCTCTTGGTGGGCTGCTGCAGAGCCGTGGTCGGGGCTGCTCCCTGCTGCTGCCCCGGCCTCCCTTCGCCTCTGCGTTCTCTGAACGCCAAGAGTGACTCCGGGCGTAGGTTGCGGTTGGCCATCTTGACTTTGGCACATCTGGGTAAACTGGTGGCCGTGGGCACCTGTGCCTGGCACTCACTGGACCCTGGAGTGCAACCTGGGCCTCCCTTCCTAAGGACAGCTTGCCCCAGGCCTGTGAGAGGGTCTGTCCCTTATGCTAAATGCAGCACTTTGCAGTTGATTTAAACGTTTTAATATTTCCTCACTTTTTTGTAGCTCTGTTAAGTGCAGATGTGGTGAATTATTATCTGCTGAAATGGCGCTTGAACGTGGTTCTCATTTACTGCTCAGCTTCTGTAACTTCTGTCTATTTAATTTGCCAAGACGTTCCCCCTGTGTGTTGCGTCAGTAGTGTGGATAGTGTCTTTGGGAGACCACTGGGCCGGAAGGACTCGGCCTTTGTCCTGGCAGCCTCTCTTCCTGACCCCTCGGGGGACAGCCACAGACGAAGAACAACTGTCACTCAGTGGCGGCTGCACCTCGGGCGGGGCCAGGTCACATCTCCAGCATCTCTTGTCTGGACCCTGTTTGTAGCGTGTTTGTCCTGTTGTGCCGTGTCCTGAGTCAGAGCTGGATTCCTGTGTGTCTGTCCGTCAGACCTGGATAAGGAGAAGTGCTTCTTCTTCTGGCTGTGCCAGGGTGTGGGTGGTGTCTCACACGCTTCAGCAGCGGGAGTGTGGCCTGGGGGGTTGCGCTGCTTCCTGGAGCAGTGAGTGCGGTGGTGAGCCCCGCCCAGCTCCCCGGCCTTGCTCTGCCTGCAGCATCCCTGAGGGGAGCAGACCCCGTTGGGGCTTCACGAGGCTGCTCGTTTCCTGCCACGGCCAACAAACAGATTGTGCCTTTTGTTGCCAAAGTCATTTCTTACAAATTTCATTTTAATTTGTATGAAAATTTTGCACATAAATTATTTTTGTAGAAATTTTCTATCCATGAAAGTTTATTTTGATGGATTGATGTTAAATTGGCATTTTTAAAATAATTTGATAAAACCTTTTTTAGTTTCTAAGTAATAGGCAATTTGTTTCATAGGATACAGGTAACAATAGATTGAACTTGTCTCAGTACTTGGGAATTTCTCTTAATTACACTTTGGCAGGGTGTGGTGGCTCACACCTGTAATCCCAGCACTTTGGGAGGTTGAGGCAGGAGGATTACTTGAGGCCCGGAGTTTGAGACCAGCCTGGGCCATGTAGCAAGACCCCTTCTCTACAAAAAAGTAGAAAGATTAGCTAGGTGTGGTGGCGCGAGCCCGTGGTCTCAGCTACTCGGGAGGCTGAGGCGGGAGGATCTCTTGAGCCCAGGAGTTCAAGGCTGCAGGTGAACTATGATCACACCACTCACTCCAGCCCCGGTGACAGAGCGACACTTGGTCTCAAATGAAGGAAAACAAAACTATACTTTGGCCTGTCCTAGCCAAATTTAGCAAAGACTCTTTTACCTGATTTTTAAAGCTCACTGAAAAGTCCCAGTGACGGTGAGTAGAGTCAACACGCCGTGCTCTGGGTGCCAGGAGATGGTTCAGTGTGGGTCACGGTGCCCGGAGCCAGGCCCTGGCCGGCAGGATCTCCTGGTCTCGGGCATCCACGCCACACATACAACACGGAGCTCGGGCCTACCACCTGTTTCCTCTGGGTTTCACGTCTGTTGGCAGCTCCGTGTAGTGTGCTGCGGCTGGTGTCAGAGGCAGCAGCCTCCCTCCCTGCTCTCCGGGTGCTCATTTGGTGGCTTTCCCCAGGTGGCCCCACTGGAGCCTTTGCCACCTGTGGGCCTCCAGCCCTGGGCGTGCTTTTCCTGGCGCTTGGAGCCTCTCGGATTTGCCGGTCAGATGTCCCTTGCAGGAAATAACTTGTCCCCTCTGTTCCACTTTTCCACGTCTGAGTGGAGTATCCCGCAGGTTTTCAGTGGCAACCGTGAGTCTTAAAGCAGTCCTGCCATAGTCCTTCAATAAGCATGGTCCACAGCGTGTGTTTCTTGAAGGATATTTGTGCCCTTTGACCCTGACTGAAATGGCGATTTCTGCTTTCTTGTTCCAGAGTGGCAGTAGATTTCAGTGGCCGCATGGTGAACCCCTAAGCACGCTCCTGGGCAGCTGAGAGCCTTAGTGCTAGGATCAGACCCACAGGAGCGCAAGGCATCCGCTGCTGCGTCTGCTCAGCCGGGGCGGGCCGGGCGTGGTCTGTGTGGCCAGCTCCGCGCCGTCTGCACCTGACCTGTCCCGCTGCACACCTGGGATTTCTTGCTCCAACTTGCACTTCTTCAGTCTGAGGACTTGAAGTATTTGGAACCTTCTGAATTTTTTCCAAACGTTCTTCCACGTGCTCTGAACTTGTAGGGCGTTCTTTGGTGTTCTCCAGTACACTGCAAGATCCCGTGTTAGCGTAAGAACAGATCCGCTCGCTCTGAGACTCCTCCCCTGGGGCCAGGCGTGCGCGCACCAGGCCTCGCGGGGCTCTGAGTTCTCGTGGACGTCACCTTGGAGCCAGCCCTGGCTCGTAGCTTCCTTCTGTGACTGCTCATTTATGTCTAGCAGTGACCGCCAGGCAGCACTTCCCTGTCCTTCCTCTCCTGAGACCGCCGCTGCGAGATTCTCGTGCGTGTGGTGGGCGTGAGCGAGTGGGCGCTGGCGTCCTCAGCCTGTTCGGGCAGGAGGCCGAGCTGCTTCTGCCCTTCCGTCCAGACTAAGCAGCTTTTTCCCTGTTTTCCAGGCTCCGCTTTGCTAATGTGCTGGGTGGTCCACTCTTTGGACCCTCCTCACTGTCCCGCACCTCAGCCGGGGCTGCAGCTGTGCCCGCTGAGCTGAGCGGCCATCGCGGCACGCAGAGGGCCACTGCGCTTTGCATTTATTTAATTCTCAGAATCTCATTGCGACCATTGGTCCAGCCTCTAAACAACACAAACACCTTGGAGAGGTCTCGGCCCCCCGGCCCACCCTCTGTAGGGCAGAGCCTCCGCGAGCCGGCCGGACGGGTCGGCGCCTCGGCTACCCGCGCGTGGGTAGTTAACGGAGGATGCAGAGGAGAGCCTGGTGCCGTGGCCCAGGAGCCCGCAGTAGCACAGCCGACACCATCGGACCGCGCTGAGTCCCTCCCTGAGCATGCGCAGAGCTGGCCTGTGTGGCCTGTGGTTCCCGGGGGGCGCACGGCACCCTGTGAAGATGTGGCGGCAGCAGCGCCTCTTTTGTTCTGCACGATCTCCTGTCTCCTCTGCCTCGCTTTCCGTTCCCTCCCGGCGACTGCCGGTGGATTGTTGAGCAGCTCTGTCGTCTGTCTTGCTGCCACCCCAAACGCCTGCCGTGGCCACCTGAGAAGTCCTGCCCGTGGGGACGGGCGCCCTGCGTGGTGGGCGTGGGTGGGCATCCGGCCTTGGCCTTTGGCCTGTCACAAACTCGTGTCAGCAAGAGCAGCATGGTGTGGGGATCTTCTCACATGCGATGTTTTTATTGAAAAGTTGAAAAATGTACCAGAAACACTGTATTTTTGGCAGCAGTAAAACCACATGAGCAGAGGATGATGGGTGCGACCCGCCGCCTTCCGTGCTTTTGTGCGGTGGCTTCCCACCGTGCAGACACGCCTCGAGCGTCCTGTGAGCCTGTCAAGCCAGGGTGGCGGTGAGGGTGCCGGCAGCAGGGCAGGAGGGCTCGTGTCCACACCAGGTGGCTGAGCCTGCACCCGGCCTCAGGCGTCCTGGCGGCCGCTGGCCGTGGAGGTGGGAGCCAGCTTGCCCCGCCACTGCCCAGGGCCTGGCTTCTCGTTAGGTGCAGCTGGAGGAGTCTTGGCATCCGTGTCGGGGAGCCTCTGGGGCCGCCAGAGTCATCAGAGGGGCCGGGGCTGGGCAGAGGAGGATGTGCGGGTTCCGTGTCTGGTCAGTCTTCTGCCTCCTAGAAGGTCGTAAAGGCCACTCGGGTGGGGCAGCAGCGAGGACCCCGACTCTTTGGGTGGGGGGTGGCGGCTCTTTCCCAAGAGCCTCTGCTCTCTCGTGTTTCATGGTCAGTGACTTTCGGCATTTAACAAAACTGCTCGTGCTGAAGTAGTTGCTGAACGTTCCCTCCTGCTCTCTACGTGATTTAAAGGGCTGGGCCTGTGTGAGCGCCTGCTGTTTGCAGAGGCCCCGTGGGCAGGGTGCCTGTCTCTGTGCACCTCAGGCCTTGGGCTCCCCGTGCCGGGACCACCCAGAGGCTGGCGTGGGAACCCAGACCCCTCTGGGCCAAGCATCGTTTCAGGTGTTCCCAGGGGCGCTGAGGGTGGGGTCCCGGTGAGCTGTGCCAGCCTCAGCCACTGCCGTGGGGCTCTGTCGTCCCCAGGCAGCAGCCTCTTGGGACTTGTCCAGGGCCTGGCCTGGCCACTTGCTGTCCCCGAAGCGAAGGCCAGCCTGTTTCCTGTGTGCGGGGTCGTGGCTGGGTCCAAGGTGTGTCTGCACTGCCGGCCGCTTCCCAGGTGCTCGGCAACGTTTTCCGGTGTGTGTACCGTGTGACGTGTCACCCTTGGTGTCATGTGTCCTCTAAGTAAATGCTCAGGAAAATTCAGAGGGGCACTCGATGACTGAGTCTCTTCTTCCTGCGTTCCAGTCCTGTCCCTTCAGGCGTCTGAAGCGGCCGGGCCTCAGGTCTCCCCTCTGGCAGACTTGTTGTGGGCTGGGGCTGGGAGTGTCGCAGGTGTGGCCTTGCCGTGCTGGGGCCGCCGCACGAGCTCTCACCACAGCCGCTGTGCTCAGGTGCTCGGGCCCCCGGGCTGGCATCGCTGCGCAGGTTTTGTGAAGGGCTGTGCTGGCCTTTCCCCCAGCTGGCCGTAGCTCAGCCCCTGGGCGTGGCACAGGTGGGGAGACCAGCCGATTACTTAGCCTCCTTCCCTGGGCCCAGTCCTGTCTGCTCGGCCTGGAGGAGGCTCTGCGCCTGGGGTGTTGCCGGTGCGTTGCTGGCGCAGCAGGTGCCTGGCCACGGGGTGTGGTCTGGTGGAACGTCGGGTTCTCACTTGAACCTGGCCTGTGGCTTGGTGTCCTTGTCCCCTGTGCTGTCAGCGAACGGCCTGGGGTTGCTGGCCGCCCTCCGTGTTGTCCTGGGGCTTCTTCCTGTGGGTGGTGGTGGCCTCGCAGCTTGCCGGCTGGACACTGCCAGTGATGGTGGCCTGCCTGTTCAGGACCGTTGAGCAGGTCCCCGCTCAGGCCTGTGCGACTCAGTGATGGCAGATGGCCCTGGCTTGAAGTCCCTTCTCTCAGCCCCGTGTCCTGGGGCACTGGGCTCTGTCTGTCCAGCTGTCCGTCCCGGTTGGCTGGGCCATCTCTGACTTCCTCGACTGGGAGGCTGCAGGGTCTCTGCTCCTCAGGCATCCCTGAGGGCCGGGGCGGAGCTTCCGCCCTCCTGAGACCCGTCAGGGCTTGAGTTCGCGGGGTCTGACCCTTGAACCCTAGCCTGCTGTCGTCTCCTCTGCCCGGAATTCTGCGGGTGGACGAGACGCCAGCGCCCCACGTCGTCAGCTCAGCATGCGTTTTGGGGGCTCCTTTTTAAAGACTGTCCTGTAGACATGTACACATGTCCGAATGCCAAAAATGATCATAACACCCCTGAATACCTGCAGTTGCCCCTTACAAATGTGAATTAGGTTAAAATCAAAAACACTAAGCTTCTCTTAAAGTTCGTAGTTAAGTGTTAAGTCCAACAGAAATGGAGCGTTCTGTGCAGTGAGTTTGCTCAAGGGAAACCTGGGGCCTGGGTCTGCAGGGAGCAGCAGAACTTGTCCAGTCCCTGCGTCTCCATCCCCAGCTGTTGCCAAGGCCGACTCCCCCCGTCATCTCACGTGAGTCGTGCTCACTGAGGAAATGGGAAAAAGTATGCAGCGGACGGGAACCCTGCCGTCCAGCCGCTCGCTCAGAAAGACGTCTCCCAGCCGGGGCAGCGGAACAATTCTGAAGATGTGCTGTATTTTCAGATTTACACATTTTCCTTTGGATATAGATGTTTAATTGAATTTTTTAGGATCGGGTGGGTGGGAAAGAGGGCGCCAGGGTGGGCACCTGGCAGAGACAGACCACCCGCTCCTGTTCTGACCCCTGCGGGAGACCTCGCGGCGGGGCCTTGGCAAGTGTGATTTCCGTTTCCTGACACACAGCCAGCCTTTTTCAGGAGAAAAACAGTATGATTTGCCTCTATTAAAAAAGCTTGTCAAATATCGAGATGATATGATTGTGTTCTGTTCAGCTGTTTAGGGTACTTGAAACGCAGCGAGTTTGGCTTTGTGGCGGGGGTGGGCGGGGCGCTGCACATGTGGTGCTGGGCGCCGAGGGTCACCTGCAGGTCGAGGTCTGTGTCAACACCTGTCTTTTGGAACAAGGTTTTTATGTGTGGGTTTTTGTTTTTTTTTTAACTTAATTTACTACTCCTTGAAGCTCTGCTCACGAGACCGTGTCTTTGTGTGCCGGTAACCCACTCTTGGCCTGGGATTCTGAGGGGTCGTGGCCAGGTGTGGACACTGGCCTTGGTCGCACACGGGACAGGTGTGATTGGCTCATCCCGCGTGCAGCCCCCCCTGTGTGTTGCCTCCATGGACCCTACGTCAAGATCTTTTTAAGAAAACACTTTCTCCAAACGGTGCTTGGTGAACTGGACTTGAATTTACTGTGGTTTGTTATGTTTACGTCACTCAGCGAGTGACCCGTGTTTGCTGTGCTGTGCGGACGGTGCTGGGTGCCGAGGAACGTGGGCGTGAACACTGAGACGCCGTCTTGCCACGAACACGAGGTGCTCCTGGTAAAACACTCCGAGTGTGAAGGAGAAAGTCGTGTGTGAAGCGTGGGGTGCGTCGTGTTGGCGCAACTGGCTCTGGCGCAGCCGAGCTCAGGGCCTGCCTGCCTGTGTTCCAGGTCTCACCAATGGCTTTGGGGGCGCGCGGAGCGAGCAGGAGCCGGGCAGCGGCCCGGGGAGGAAAGCCGCGCCCCGACGTCGCTGCGCCTCCGAGTCCAGCATCTCTTCCAGCAACAGCCCGCTCTGCGATCCTAGGTGGGCCCCCAACCTCGCCGCAGCCTCAGCCGGCGCCTGCCTGCCCGCGGCATCTCGCCTGGCCCTGCCGGGAGCCGGGGAACTCTGCTCCTGTCTCAGTGCCTTTGTGAGGAGCGCTGGCCTGGGGGTGTGCGTGTGTGTGCCCATGTGTGTGTCCATGTGTGCGTATATGTGCCCGTGTGTACGTGTCCATGTGTGTATGTGCATGTGTGCCCATGTGCGTGTTCGTGTGTGTGCCTGTGCGTGCGTGTCCATGTGTATGTGCATGTGCGTTTGCCCGTGTGTGCGTGTGCCCACGTGTGCGTGTGCGTGTGTTCCACGTGTGTCAGTGTGTGCCCGTGTGTGTATCCATGTGTGTGCGTGTCCGTGAGTGTGCCCGTGTGTGCCCATGGGTGTGTGCATGTGTGTGCCCGTGTGAGTGCACACATGCATGTGCGCGTGTACATGTGTGAGTGCCTATGTGTGTGCATGCGTGAGTGCCCATGTGTGCACGTGCATGCATGTGGGTGCCCATGTGTGTATGCTGGTGTGCGTGCGCACATACGTGTATGTGTGTACTCGTGTGTGTACCTGTGTGTCCATGTGTGTGTGTGCCCCTATGTGTACGTGTTCATGTGCGTGTATGTGCATGTGTGCCCGTGTGTGCATGTGTTCATGTGTGTGCCCGTTCATGTGCGTGTATGTGCATGTGTGCCCGTGTGTGCATGTGTTCATGTGTGTGCCCGTGTCCATGTGTGTGCATGTGTGTTCACCCGTGTGTGTGCGTGTGTGCTCGTGTGTGCATGTCCGTGTGTTCCATGTGTCCGTGTGCCCATGTGTGTGTCCATGTGTGTGCATGTCCATGTGTGTGCCCATATGTGTGCGCATGCATGTGTCCATGTGTGCCCATGGGTGTGTGCATGTGTGCCCGTGTGTGTGTGGGTGCACACATGCGTGTGTGCACGCGTACATGTGTGAGTGCCCATGTGTGCATGCATGTGTGTGCCCATGTGTGTATGCCGGTGCGCGTACGCACATGCGTGTATGTGTGTGCTTGTGTGTGTGCCTGTGTGTGTGCTGCCCTTTAGGGGCAGTGTCCCATGTTACATAATAATTGCTTTGTAGTGTAACCAGAAGTAGGGAAGAAAACTGCAGGAAAGATGAACATTTATTTATCTGTCTGGCTGTGGAGATGACCTCTACTTGGCTGTTCGTTTAGAGACGTGGTCTCGCTCTCTCGCCCAGGCTGGAGCGCAGTGGCGCAGTCACAGCTCACTGCAGCCTGGAACTCCTGGGCTCAGGCGATCCTCTGCCTCAGGCTCCCAAAGTGCTGGGATCCCGCCGTGCCTGGCCCACAAACATGATTTCAGAATCTACAGTTAAAGTCACGCTGGGTCTCTTCCTCTCGCAGTCGTGCCTTTAGCAGAAGGGCAGTGAGCACAGCTCCCGTGACGGCTCCGCGTGCCGAGACAGGCTCGCTCCTCCCAGCCCCCGCACAGCAGGCCTGGCCCCGGCCCTGGGGCCGTCAGGGTTGTTAGGCAGGACCTGCATGGCCCCGTGGGACACAGCCTGGGTTGGGGCGAGGCCATCGGCAGGCAGGGCTTCTGAGCCCCCGACTCAAGCCTGCTGACCTCCATGGTTTTCCCCCTGAAGTTTTAGCGTGCCCAAGTGTGGGCGAGGCAAGCCTGCCCTCGTGCGCCGGCACACGCTGGAGGACCGGAGCGAGTTGATATCCTGCATTGAGAACGGGAACTACGCCAAGGCGGCCCGGATCGCAGCTGGTGAGTCCCTTGGGCTTCCGTCTCGTGTTGCGTCCACACCCTTGGTCAGTGTTTCTGGAACGTAGTGCTGTGGGGGCTGGGCTCCCACAGTGGACTCCTGTCCAGGTAGCACCGTGCCCTGAGCTGAGCCCCCGCCACGTGTAGAGTGAAGGTCATGCTCCTCCTGTGCCCTTGTCTGGGCCTCCCCTCCTGGGCAGGGATGGTGGCGTGTCTGGGGAGCTGGGCTCTCAGGCCCACTGAGCTGTGGACTGGCCGGGCTGGGTCATGCAGGTGGATTCCTGGGGAGCAGTGCTGACTTCGTCCCGCAGCTGTTTGTGCCGTGGAACGCTCAGCTCTGCGCGGTTCCTGCATATCAGACGCTGCGGAGGCTGCCTGGGACTGTTTAGGGTCACTTGTCATTCGCAGCTGCAGGGTGGTGGGTCCCTGATTTCAGACCCCCGGGGAAGGGGGCGGGGACCCTCTGGGCTGGCGCTGGCCAGGCTGTTCCTGCCAGGACTAGTCAGCCCTGGGGACTTAGGGGGTCCGATCAGTGTGGCTCTGACTGTGGCGGGCAGCTGTGCCATGAGGGCGGCCTCAGGGCAGAAACCCCAGGTGGGGGGGGCAGCAGAGAGGCTGGTGGGGGGGCAAGGCCAGGCCAGAGGGGCCAAGCGGGGACAGGCTGAGTGACGAGTGTCCTGGAGGGAGCCTGTGGCTGCTGTGCGGGGTTAGGGGGACCTTCTGTCACCAGCAGCCAGTCTGGACTTGGGGGCCCCACAGATAGCTGTGGCTTCCAGGAGTGTCGTGGCCGGATGCGCAGAGGGAGGGGTGGGCCGAGAACTGGGGCACAGGTGGGGACAGCTGGTAGTATCTCTTTGGGGGGAGCCAGGATTACAGTTTTGAAGTTGGGGTGTCAGCTTCATACGCAGTAATGAGTTAGGAGCATGCTGGGGAGCCGGGTCTGTACTGGAGGGGCTTCCGAAGTGGGGAGGTGTTGGCATCTGGAGCCAGAGGCCTTCCGGCTGGGGAGGGGTGAGATTCTGCCGGTCAGTGAGAGGCATGCGGGGCCACTCAGGCTGCAGGGGGACTGAGGGGGATGCACAGGTCCTGGACCCCCATGGGAGGGGCAGCAGGGCGGCTCTCTGCCTCCCAGGCCCTCGGGTGGGTGGGCATATGACTGTCCTCCTGTTGGAGGAAGGTCCGGGAGCCCCGTCCTGTGGCCGAGCGGGGCCTTGGGAGCACCTGGCCTCCTGCTGACGGCCGGCTTCCTTCGCCAGAGGTGGGTCAGAATAGCATGTGGATTTCCACCGACGCGGCGGCCTCTGTCCTGGAGCCCTTGAAGGTGGTGTGGGCCAAGTGCAGCGGCTACCCCTCCTACCCGGCACTGGTGAGTGGCGCCTTGCCTGGGGCCCCAGGGTGGCCCTGTGCCTCGGGTCTGCAGATGCCCTGCCCCGGGGGCTGCGCCTGCTTGTGCAGCTGGGAGGGGGCGGTGGGGGACGCTTGGCCAGTGGCTCTGGGTGTGAGTGTGCAGGTGTGACCTGAGCATGTCCTTCCTGGACAGATCATCGACCCCAAGATGCCACGAGTACCTGGGCACCACAACGGCGTCACCATCCCAGCCCCGCCCCTGGACGTGCTCAAGATCGGAGAGCACATGCAGACCAAGTCCGACGAGAAGCTGTTCCTCGTTCTGTTTTTTGATAACAAGAGAAGCTGGTGAGTCGAGGCCGGGTCAGGTGTGCAGTCTGCAGGCGCTGGGCGAGGGTGGCGCGAAGAAGCTGCGGCAGAGCCTCTCGGCGAGCGGCGTCTGTGAGACCAGCGGCCGTGCTGCCTGCCCGTCCTTGCGGGCGTTCTTGGCCCCGCCCTGTTTCTCCTCCCCGCTGCTCACAGAGCCCGCGGTCCCCAGAGCTGCCGCCCCTAGAACTTGCCCCCTTTGCCTGGGGAACTTGGGGCCTGGGGGGCTGGTGCTCTGCGGCTCCTTGTGGAGCCGGCTGCTCTCGGTGTGCCCGGAGCGGGGCTGGTGGTGTGGGACCCGGCGTCCTGCCGTCGCTCTTCCTCACCCCGACGCCTCTGGCCACTTGGCAGCTGCTCCTCATCAGGCCCTGAGGGGCTGTCACCGGCCTTGCCCACCCGAGGGCCTGTCGTAGGGTCTCCCCGACCACCGTCCCTGGCCCTGTGTGGTGTGTTCTGTGTGCATGTGTGTACGCGCCTGTGCTCGTGTGCGGCGATGACTCAGGACGCGCAGACACGTGGGAGATGTTTTGGAGGAAGGGGAGGAGGAGGGATTGCTGGTGACCCTGCCTTACCTGAGCCTCGAGAGGTACGGGGAGGGGTCGTCCACCTCCCTGTCTGTCCCTGCAGGAGGCCGCCCCGTGACTGGCCCCAGTGCTGCTTCGCTGGGCTCCTCCCGTCAGGAGGAGCTTTCAGTTTGTTTGATGATCACGTGGAGCGTGTCCCAGTATGACTGCGATTCTCACTTTCCCGTTTTTTTCCCTTTCAAAAAGGCAATGGCTTCCCAAGTCCAAAATGGTTCCCCTGGGTATTGATGAGACGATAGACAAGTTAAAGATGATGGAGGGGAGGAACTCCAGCATCCGGAAGGCCGTGCGCGTCGCCTTCGACCGTGCCATGAATCACCTGAGCCGCGTCCACGGGGAGCCGGCCAGCGACCTCAGCGACATCGACTGACGCGGCTCCGGGAGGCGGCCCCGGGCCTCGGGTCCTGTCCATAGTGTGGATAGCTGTACATGTCTGTATATTGTTCAAAACTTAACTTATTCTGATTTTTAGTCGTAGCTTTCATTCTTTTTCCCCGGGGGAGGGGGGCGGTTTCAGTTCCCGGTTTTCTATGAGACATCTCGTCCGGCACTGTGGGGTGGGCGGCCGTGTCCGGCCGCGGTGTGGGCGCGCGCCACGGGGGTGCTGCTGTGTCACTTTCTTTGATTTGTAGCTTTTTTTAAAAAGACTTTTGAATGTTTAATAATTTTGTAAATCATACTCTTTACACAGAGTACCACTTATTTAATAAGACGGGATGTACATTTACAATGACAAATGTGTATTTTAAGAAAGAAAATGACATTATTTTGATGGTACTTTGTGGAAGGAGCTGAGAGTGAGTCTGTGCCGTGTGCATCGCTTGCGAGTCACCAAAAACACCCGCTGTGCCGGCCCCGCCCAGCCCCACGGTGCGCCCAGCGGGTTATTTATTGTAGAAAGTGTATCCATTTGCTTTATAATGAGAAATAAACTTGCAAAGGTGTATCGACATGCGTTTTTATACAGGCACCTGCAGAGGGCTCGGGTGGGGCGGGCGTGCGCGCCGGGGCCCGGGCCCGTGCGTACTTTGATTTTGTAACTTGTAATCTTTTGTTTACAATGAGGGCCTTTCTGTAACTCGTTTTAATTTAGAACACTTTGGTAGCAATAGAAACTTTGGATACATTTTTGTATGGTACCTGTGATGTATATAGAATTAGTACTTTATTTTTATTTTTAAGAGGTAAAGCATTATGTTAGGGGGGAAAAGTGGGCGGGTTTCCAAATTTGCATTTTTTATATTAAAAATAAAGTCAAGATTTGGACGGTGTGGCCATTTCATTCCTCCATCACCAGAAGGCCTGGGGGTCGGGCGCCTGACCGGCAGACACGCCTTTCTCTTAGAAGTTGTCACGGGATGGCGTTATTTATTAACTCACCTGATCATATTTTTATTTTAAAGCTATAGTTACACACAAAATTTTAAATGTTTTTCTTTTAAGTCTCCATTGTTGTAATATCTCCATAGAAACCTTGCAAATAAAGTCTTCCTTTGGTAGTTTGGTCCTGTGTTTGGCAGACGCTTTCTATCCCCTGGTCCCCTTCCTGCCGCCCTCTCCCCACCGGGAAAGGCTGGTGAGGCCGACGCCGGGGAAGGAAGGGAGCAGGGACCGGTGGTGCCCGGCCGCGGGCGCTGGGGTGAACCTCTCCGCTGCTGCTGAGCACGGCTGTGGCAGGACGCGGTGCGCTGGGTGGGAGGACTCTGCCGTGACCGGGTCTGAGCAGAAGGAGGTGTCGCAGCTCGGAGCTGCTTGTTCCTGGCGTGAGCTTCAGCTGATTTTTGACTTCCGGTGTGTCCTGGGACAGGCTACAGGAGTCGGAGTGGTTGGCGGGTGCCTGGGGCTGCAGGTGAGCAGCTCAGCTGGGTCCCACTGGTTCTGGGAGGGTCACTGGGGCAGCTGGCCTGCGGTTTGGAGGCTGTTGTCCCGGCCGTCACCAGGCCCTTGCCCTCTGGCTCGAATTCGGCCCTGCCCCAGACGCCCACCACAGGCGCTGTTCTGGGGGCTTCCAGAGCCCCACTGGTGCTTCCCCAGGAGACGCTCAGGATGGGGAGGGAGGTTTCCTCGCCTGCCTCCAGCTCGGCGCACGGTCATGGGCTGTGTTCTGGCTGGCGCAGGCGTACCTGTGGGCGGACCTCGGCAAGGGCCTTCCAGCCTCGCTTCGTGTCCTGCGGGCTCCAAATCCAGCTGCTTGCCGGCCTGTGCAGTCGTGGGCTTTGCCCGCCCGCGCTGGAGGACGCGACGAGGCCCACGCGGGAGGAAGGGGCTGCTGCTCCCAGCGTGCGGGGGCCACCCCCTTCCTGCCCGATGGCCTTCACGGTGTCGCCTCTGCAGTTCAACTTGGCCGGCAGCTCCTCCGCCCCCGTGAGCGGCTCCCGCACAGACAGCCCCCCTCACGTCTGGGTCTCGGCCTCCTCTGGGCCGAGCTCCTGTGGCTTCCGGCTTCCTGGGCCCCGGGCTCAGACCTGTTTCCGGAAGTTACTGAGGATCTCCCCGTCGGGGTTCTCTGCTGCCACCACTTACTAGTCAGCTGTGAGGGGTTCCTCGCTGAACTGTCGTGTGGTTTTCGTCTCTGGGCTACACCCTGATTGACAGCGTCTCGGTCCCAGGAGCAGGCCCTTCAGCGTGAGTGCGGGGTGGCCATGACCTGGGCGGAGCGCAGTGCATGGCGCCTGGCCAGCGGGGGCGGGGTGCTGGCGCTCGCGGCTCGAGGTGGCGTCGCAAGTCTTCACCTGCCGTGACTGTGTGCGGGGAAGTGGGTGTCTCGGGAGCCCAGGCGGCTGCCGCGCTTGCCTGCTGCGGCAGCAGGGACCTTCCCGAGGGACCTGGAGCGCTCACGGGAGGGCAACGGCGAGGCGGCTCAGTTCAGGACCTGAGAACAGGGAGCCCGGCCGGGGCCCAGACGCGCCTGTGTCTCGTAGTTCCGGGGCTCGGATTGCCGGGAATCAAAACGGAACCGCTCGTGTTTCCCACACTGAAGCGAAGGCGTCAGCTGGGAAAGAACCGGACCCTGACCCTGGACACGGGCTCGGCTCGGACGCACAGAAGGCAGAAGTGGGGCCTGAGTCTGTCTGGGCTTCCAGCGTGGAGCGTCGCCGCCGGAGCCGAGGAGGCTGCTCGCGAAGCCTGCGCGACCTCCCCAGGGGGCATCTTTGCAGGGCACCTGTCCCCCGAGACCCGCCACACGCGCCTCTCCCTGCCACAGACCCACAGCAAAGGCCGGGCTCCGCGTGCGCCGGGGGTCAGGTGCGCAGTGCGTGCGAGGAGGCAGCCAGCATACACGCCGCGGAATACGCGATTTTGCTGACAAATGTTGCCGAGACCGGGGGCGTGTGTGGGGGTGGACTCCGAAGGTGCTGGGCCAGGGAGGGGAGCGTGACACTGGACCAGACGAGCTTGCGGTGTGGTGCGGTCACGAGAGTTTGGACGTCGGCTGCTCGCGCAGTTGCCGGAGACTGGAAGAGCTGGGGCGGTTGGGTTGGCTGACATCAGGCTCGACGGTGTCCGGCGTTTATCGGCACCAGAGCTGCCCTGGTGTGATGTGGGCGGGGAGACGGGAGGTCAGCTGGGAGGCGTCACCTGCCACCCACACGCCCACCCCCAGCTCGCCCTAAGAGGGCTCTGAAGACCTCCCCTCGGCAAAGCATGGCGACCTGGAGGGAAACCCGCGCCTTGGAAGCTCCGGGGTGGGTCCTCTCTTGGGCCGGGGGTGACCGCAGGGAAAGGCCCCGTCCTGAGGCTCTTGGGCTCCTGGGTTTCAGTGGGGCTCGTGGGGCCCTGGGAGGGCAGAGTCCGGGCGCATCCTGCTGCCAACGTCAAGGCGGCACATCTGCCGCCAAGGGCCCATGAGGCCTGTGCAGGGACCGGCTGGCCACGGCGCCCAGGGATGAAAGAGACAGAACCTTCTTGTCGCACGACCTACACAGCAGCGACGCCCCAGGTCGGGAGCGCGGAGTCACCCCGGCCAGCGCGCAGACACGGCGGCCTGGATGGAAGGACCCTGCGGCACTGCCGCAGACGTGCTGTGAACCGTGCTCCGAGCCCTCCCCAGAGGGACCCGCGGCCGTTGCTGGCGTGGCTGAGCGCCGGGGAAGAGGAAGTGCCGGCTTCTGAGCAGTTCCTGGATGGCGGCTCTGAACCGTGCTTGGATCTGGGGACCAGGTGCCCCCAGGGGCTGCCAGCCCATGTCCGGGCTGGGGCAGCCGAGGGTGGAGCCTCAGCCCAGGCGCGTTTCGCAGCAGAGTCCGTCCTAATCGTCAGGGGACGGGTCTCCACCAGCTCCCGCCCAGGGACTCGGAGGCAGCAAGTGGGGAAGATCGACAAGGAAGTCCGGGGCGGAGGTGTGGATGGAGCTCGCGGGGGGGTTGGCGGGGGGCGGCCACGAACGCCTGGCGCTTTGTAGTCAGGCGGGCAGAGTGGTGCACGGCTGGGAACCCTGGCCTCCCGGCCACCCCACGTCGCCAGGGGGGCCCGGGGCCCAGTGTCCGTGGCAGCCAGGTGGAGGCTGTGCCTGGGGCTGGTGGCAGGGACCCCCTGCCGAGCACCCACCCGCCCACTGCGGGGACCCGGTGGTGCCGGCAGACTGAGGTCTTCCCGTCCTGTTGTCCGTACAGCGCGCGGTGCCGGCCCCATCCCGTGGTCCGCAGGCCGCACCTGCAGGGCAGACCAGGGTGGACAGAGGGTTGGTGCGAGAAGCGGGCCGGGCCAGGCGAGTCCCGGCGCAGGGCGGTGGCAGCGGCGCGATCTCGTCTTCCTCAGGGCGTCCCTGGGCCTGCCCAGACCTAAGCCCAGTCCTCAGCCAGGCGGTCGGGGACACACGCCTTTCCCAGCCACAGCCACGTGGCTGCGCTGTTGATCGACCCCTGGGCCCCGCCCTGAGTGGACGCAGGAAACAGCAGCTCTGGGTTGGTCCAGGAGGCCCAGCACTTGCGCCCGCCCTGCTGGTTCGGGAAGAAAGAGGGCGGGTGGGGGACACAGGACACACGGCCATGTGTGGCCCCTCTCCTGGCGGGCGGGCGGGCCGTGGAGCCCTTGCGCTGGTCAGCGAGCCCGTGGGGCCTCCGGGGCTGACTCTGGGGCCTGGTCCCGCCTCCTGCCTGCCTTCCCAGCGCGGCTCTGCACCCGGGCTCTGCGTCCTGACCCCTCATGGCGAGTCCCCGTGGCCCAGCCACCCGTCTCGGCTCTGCGCCTGGCCTGGACGGGCCGGGTGGCCGGGTGGGGCCCGTGTCTGCTCTGCTGCAGCGGCGGCGGCGGGAGAGCAGCGTCTCACGAGAGAGCGGCGGGGATGAGCGGGTGGCGGCAGCCCCGGCAGGTGGGCTGTGCAGGCAACCGGGGTGTAGGGGCCTGCGGTGGCAGAGGGCGTCTGCCTGGCACACGCAGCGGCCCTGAGAGGGGGCTGTGGGGGACGGCGTGGGTGGGGAGCACGGCACAGGCAGTGGGCGAGGCGGGAAGGCGCGGGCTTTAGGCTCGGTGGAGGCAGAGGCCCCAGGCCCTGTGGATGGTGCGGCTGAGGGGGCCGAGGCACCTCCCTGCCCAGAGGGACTGTGGGAGACCCAGGGTCTGTTCAGGCTGGCCAGGGCGGGGCGGCGGCGCCCAGTGACAGATGCCCAGTTCCCGGCGAGTTCGTGTCCCCAGACCCCACTTTCCTGCCGCCCCTCGACCTCTGCTGTGGGCTGGGCCCCGCGACCAGAGCTGAGGGATGGAGCGGACGTCGCTCTGCCCAGCACCCCGGGCAGCCCAGGCCTCAGCGCCCGCTTCTCGCCCCTCGGGGGTCGCCAGGGCCGCAGCGGTGCCCCTCGTCCACACCTCCCCTCGGTGTCCAGGAGGCCCCTGTCGCCCTCTCTGGCGCTCCCAGCGGGCTGACCCCATCCCGCACCAGGAGGAAGCTGGCTCTCGGGGGACGCGCGGAATCCGGGGACGTCCAGAGGCGTCTGCTGCGTGTCGGCTCCCGGAGGGTCCGAGTCTGGAGCGGCCTCCCCTCGCGCTTCTCCTGCACTCACAGGTGTGGCCCTGCCCTTCTTTGCGCCACTGGGGACAGCAGCTCCCAGGGCGGCTCCGTTTGGGTCACAGCCCAGGCCCAGAGCCCGCACAGCGGGGTCGCCCTTCGGGGGCCGGAATGACGGTGACGCCAGGAGGGTCAGGCTGGGGTTCGCCCCCCAGGCTGCCGCCGGTCCGCGAGGACGAGGACAGGGCTGCTGTGGGGTTGGAGGCCGGCGGGCGCTGGCGCAGCGCGGTGCTCCCTCGGCGACCCCCGGGCCCTGTGCCGT